TTATTAAGATGTGTCATATGACTCACTGTGCCAGTGTCAGTTAATTCATTTTTATCAACAGATATGGATATGTGTGTGCCACAAAAATTATGAAACTGAGGAAAATACTTGAAAAAGTTGGGGCTGCATCAGGATTTACCTCTGAAGAAAAAGGTGACCCTTTTAATTTATAATACATGCATTGAAAATAACTTGAAAGTTTATCATCTAGTAATATGCTAAATTATTTACAGAAATATACCTATTTAGTTTAGAGGATTAAATTTAAGTTAGAATTATTTGAGAGGGCTAGTGGTGGAGTATGTAAGAGGCCTTGTGTTTGAATCCCAGCACTGCAAAAATATGAAAAGTTTCTTTTCTATGTGACATGCATATTTCTCCTGATTTCTGAAGTGATGTGATGTGGAAGAAGCCTTTAAGAGGCCAGCCGGCTGGCTCTACAGAAGATGACCAAGTAAAGAGCTGTGCTTGTCCCCAGCAGTGCTGTTCGGAGCTGCTTCTCTTCCTGTGATAGGGAGCGTCCCCAGCACTCAGTTTCCCACTGTGCTCCCTGTTGAAAGGGGCTGTGGAGCATTGGCCAGCACTTCTGTCTGCTCACAACTGCAGAATTCGCTCAGATTCAACTCCTGAATTAGTTTGTTAACAGTATACAATAACCAGCTGTGGCAATTATACACATGGCTATTGCTAAAATAGAAGAAGAAATAGGGCATATACCAGGTATATTCTACTGAACCTCCCAGAAGACATAAAAATGATTTCACTGTGTGTGAATGAGAATATTCTGTTAAATAGGGCATCATGACAACAAATGAAAAAGTAATGTTTTATTATAAGTTTTCCCTTGTCACGGGAACCTGAAATAACTAAACTTTTAATTAATATGTCTCTCTTAAAGAATAGAATGGTTTTGAAATTTTCTCTCTAATTCACTTAGTTTTGTTTTGTTTTCTCCTAGATCCTGAAGAATTTCTAACTATCCTGTTTCATGACATTTTAAGGGTTGAGCCATTGTTAAAAATAAGGTAGGTCTCAAGCAGTCTAGAAGCATTTCAGAAGTAGACCTTCTTTTTCACTGCCATTGCCCAGTAGCTAAATGTTGCTAGAATAAATGTGGGTTTCACTAGCTGCTGTCCTCTCTCTGAGCTACACTTAACTTCCAGGGCACAAGTGAACCTGTCCTTTTAATTAGCCCTAGTGACAGATGTGCCCACAATTTAATTACTTATGAAATTGCATGTTAATTTTTTTGAAAGTTCAGTTAGTGAACTTTTAAAAGGAATCTTATTCTAACTGAATTTAAAAAAAGAAAAAAAAAAGTGAGAGCATTGTTTTTGGCTTCCCATAACTTATAGTTAGCCTTAAGTTAGCTCTTTCATTCTCAGTTTAGATCTTCCTTCTCCCCATGTTGAAAGAATACCTGAGTTTACTGCGATACAGTTCTTAGTGAGATGTTTGAAATGTCTGTGCTTTCCAGGTCATTTGAATGGTGGGCCCCTCTTGATTTCAGTCTTGGTTTCTCTGGTGAAAATCTTAGGAGTGTGCTGCCTACTTCCTTAAGAACCCACACTGATGAGTTCTCTTTCCTCTTGTGTCTAAGCAATGCAGTTTGAACCAGGGTTAAACTGATTGTGGGAGCTAGGAAAGCATCACAGTTTGGTTCTCTTCAGAAATCTCTAACTAGTGAACTGGCATGATGCATAAGCATTGGGTGTACAAACTTATTAGCAAGTCCAAGTTGGTAATCACTTTCTATGCACCTAGAAAATCCTAGAGAATTATCTACAAAGATTTAAGAAAAGAATTTATTATAGTCTAGCCATGTAAAAATTAATCATGGAAAATCAACATTTTTTTATTCCTTCAAGCATATAGAACAGGGAATATTTTATGTTTTAGGAAAGAAAAATAAGCAATCATTGTTTTCAAAGATAGAGTTAAAAAAAGATTTACACTGAGCTACAAGGCAGATTTGATTAATTAGTGAGAAAGAGTAAATAATTAAATATGTTAATTTTTTGGTTTGTTTTTATTCTTTTAATGATTTTTACATTCCAACTAGAGTTTCCCCTCCTTCCTCTCTTCCTAGTCCTTCCCTCCCACCTTCTCCCTCTCCCCCATCCTCTCCTCCTTCATTTCTATTCAGAAGAGGGCAGGCCTCCCATGGATATAAAGCAAACATGGAACATCAAGTTGCATATCAAGACTAGGCACTTCCCTTGTATTAAGGCTGGAAAAGGCAATCCAATGGAGTTCCCAAAACTGGCAGAAGAGTCAGAGA